GAGAGGAGAGCGTTTTTCGTTTGAAAAATTTTTTTCCCGGTTGTTGACCTGGAAAATGTGGGAGATTGGTAGGTAGGTGTTGGGGGAGGGTGGGGTGGGGGTCGTACTGACACCCTCTCTCGAAGGGGGGGGTTGTACCGACACTACCATTTCACACATCACGATGCTGTACCTTGACCTCGTAGGCGTTATGCATAATCTTTCCTTTGGAATAAATATCGCAAAGCTGCAGTGATGTCGACTAAGGCTGAATTAACACTTCGAGTTTAGGTGTTCCCTTGTGTACTTTGATTTGCCAAGGGTTCACCCGTCTGCCTGCTGATTTTCTCGATCCCGTTATACTTTCTCTCCTCATTTTCTTTTTGTTCCCTCTAACCTCCATATCCTACCATTTGGCAAGCTTATTTTTGGGTATTAGCTTTAATTTTATTATATTTTATGCGCTATGTCGCACATGACACATTGATCTCGCTGCTCACTGAGTGAGTTGCCAGTGGTTTCCGACTGGTCGCGCTGTGCAATAATCGTTGGAAAACAGTGAGAATTAGAACCTTTTGTCGTCCTGGTTCTCAAGAACGGCATTTCGTTCGAGAAGCTGGCGAACGGTGTTCAGATGACCACCAGCGACAGCACACTGCAATGCGGTGTCTTCGTGTGAATTCTTTGCTTCGATATCAGCACCGGCATCCAGAAGTACCTTGGTCGTCTCAGCTTTACCTAAACAGGACTCCAGTAACCACGAGGATTTGATAGACTGCTATCATTAGAAGTGCTACTTTATAAGACGCTTGATTCTACGGCTGACTGGGGAAGCTCAGTTTCAGGATACTTTTGTTTCGCCTTTTTATATATTTTTCACAATCCACTCAACACATATCTATTTATCTTCTTTTGCTCCTTCTCCGTTGAGTCGTACTAGAAAAGTCCTTTCTGGCTTCCGAAAACATGAAGAATTTTTTGGTAAAATCCTCGATTTCAGGCGAGAGACGCCGAAAACGCTAGGGAATTGTCTGACTCAAAAGTGATGGATATTTACGTCGTCTCGCCAGATTCTTTAGGTTTCAATCGTTTTCAACATTAACAGGTGAATAGCAAGAAGAATTGCAAAAATCTTCTATGCAGAAACGGTGGACTAGTAAAGGAGGAGGAGAAGGCACGCTCGGTCAATTATTATCAATGGAAATATGGAATCTACCACTCTTTAAGCTATTTGTAAATCGCGGTGGGAGTCCTTAGGAGCACACCTCTCATAAGCAAGGGGTCGGTCTGAATGGGAATCAGGGTAGCATGCGCTCTACTGTGTGGATAGTTTGAATACTTGCTGGCCCTGCCGCGGCAAGTCTGATCAGTCATTCAGAAGTTTGGGAACCTAGTAGGATTCTGGATGGAATTGCGGACATACTGATCCCTGAAGGGGTTCGAATTTGATGCCAAACGGCCCATTTCTTTGAGTTTTCACTGCGGAGAAACGGAGAGGTAAGGATTTGCACTTTTTCGACGGGAGTTGATAAGCGACTTTTGAGGGGGATCACTTGTGCAGGAGTTTCCCTGCTCTTGAGACATTCTTCAAGAGGATATTTCAACTGGACATTCGCCGAGGCTCAAGGTCTATTCTTGATATCGGGAACAGTTTACTGTCGCCAGGAAAAAATAAATCCACTCCAGGAAATTTTCAATTATTCTGCGTCAGATATAAGGAGAGGATTCTGCATACTTGTAGTCCTCTTGCATATAGCTCGACTTGCTGAACTTCCCTGGTGAAGACCTTCAAACTTGGAGGAGTTCACGCGTGTTACGAACAACAAAAACTTGCCCTTTTGTGGGAAAGATGAGATCATCGAGAATTTCCGGAAGATCCGGCAGCTTTTCAGGTGTACCCCTATTTTGAGTTCAGCTCCAATTTGTGGATCTGCGTGCAAAGGCGGAGGACACAGCTCCTCGCACTCTGCATGCTGCCCAGAATTCGTGCCAAGAAGGAAGCGCGCACTTCCTCACAGCGTCGCAATCGATAGACGGCCGTCGTCTGCGCTCCTACGGCGAATATCCTCATTCAGCACACAATTAAATAATTCAGTAAAGATTGCCAGCGGCCATCCCATCTCGCCTCAATCCAATACTCAAACCCTCACATCCCTCTCCCCTCTTGTAGTAAGTGTGGTAGAAAGAAAACAGTGATGCTGCTGCACACGAACTGTAAGAAAGAGGTCTAGACCAACTCACCACGGCTAGACAGACAAGCACTGCACAACATATAAGGAAGTGACGCTGGGTAGAATTTGTTTATAGACGAGTAACAAATCAGCCGGTGGAAATAGGAGAGGAGAAAACGCTTTATTCGCTTGGCATTCACCGCGTGCCTTAGTTGCATTTCACACTAAAGTCACCGATGAAAGCGAAGCGATCCAGCGCGGATTCAGAATAGGCAGTGTCCACGACCGGCGGAATACGGCATGGTACAGTAGCAGCTGGTATTGAGACGAATGACAGGGGGCGGGAATGCGGTGAGGGTCAAGCCCTTGAGGGCCAGGTGGTCAGGATTAGGCGGGCACTGTGAAGAGAGCGCAGGTGGACATGAGGCGCAGACACTCTTGACCGGCAGATTGGGAGAATTTACACGACACATCTCATCCGAAAATCAACGATCGATTACGGTATGGCATGGTGTGGAGGACAGAAATTGAATGCGTTCCGCAATGATGGACTGCGAATGGATGGATGTGGCGGGCATCATTAGAATAGAACACAGTCCGTCAAGGAGATGTGGTTTCTACGAACAGTTCAGCACGACGAAACCACGATGTCATGGTAACGGATGGCGACAAGGCGCGAATAGCAACGCTCTAGCAGCGAGCGGACCGTGAGAATAGCACGGGTAGTTTGGACGGTCCTGAGCAAAAGCGAAGAAAATCGGAGCTGGTCAGGGCGAAGTACTTGATGTAGGAGCATGCGATTCGGCAGAAGGACGCAGACTGCGCCCGTCCATGGAAGGCAATCAGCAGAGGAAGCGAGGGACGGACCCATGCTTGTCAGACAGCCGAGAGAGGAGGGGCGGCGCTGAGGCTCAGATAGGGTTGGGGCGAGGTAGTGCAAGCTGCGCGGAGAGGCTCTCCCCCTCAGTGAAATATTCAATGGCCGCAGGCGGTAATCAGAACTGGCTGCAGACTGCGGCAAGCCACGAGACGAACGACAGCACAGAAATGCGCCGCTGCCTCAGCAACCTCGGACTACGGTAGCAGGCATGGTGAGTGAGACGCGGTGATGTCGATCGGCCCGAGAAGCCGCAGCGTCTCAGCCATCAACGGGGATTCGTAGAAAGTGGGAGGAGCATGGTTGTCTACCCGGAGACAAGGAGGTTCAACACAAATGCTCTATGAAAATTCGAGACGAAGAAATGTAGCCAGTCATTCTTCCAGCGTCCTCCATCCCACCCATTGGCACTATTTGCTCATTAACGGCCTCCTGCAGTGACAATCCGTCAATGATGACATCAACAGGTGGTCATGCCGTAACTTTTTCGGTTTGCCCACTTGCGCGACCCAAATAATTGCCGCAACCGCAGGTGTTTCCCTCACATAATAGGTGAGAATGAACTGAAGGAGGTTAGCTACTTAGCTCTCAATTCTAGGTGGCATTACTGGTAATGGCCTGCGGTTTCGTTACCACAGAACATCCTTTTCACAGCACAGACAAGGCATTCATGTTTCGCGTACGGCCAGGATCAGACTCGATCTCCTTTTCCGACCATCAAGCAGTCTGTTGGCGATGAAGGCAACTCAAGGAAGTGGACATTTCCTCTCGTGTGGCACGACCCTGCGCAGATGTCATCATGCCATCTGTTCTGCCAGTTATTACCCTATTTGACCATCGCCGCACGAGAACATCATGAGTTACGGTTCAATCGGTCCAATTATGGACACCTCAGCAGCACCGAAGGAATTTTCGATGCCTTCTAGTGAGCCTGGCTGCTTTGTCCAGATCAATAAGTGGGAGTTCTAGAAGGAGTCTGAGTTCGAGAGCTGGACTCCAAATCAATATTCGTTGCATTGAGGGTCAATTAGCCATGTTAGTGGTTGGCGTTGGGCAGCAGCGGCGGCAACGTTGTCCAATCCCACGTCCACTAATTGGCGTCGACATTCTGCGATTTCCCTCAGCAATCGTGGTCCATCAGGGAATGTTGTGAAAGCCCATCAGCCGCCAACGATGTTCGTACGACTCTTTTTGGTGTGACATAAGGGAGCATGGGGGTGCACAGACCTCATACGGATTAACGGCAACGCAGCTGGATCGTCCTAGCAGATGGCACAAGAAAAGGTGATAAGTGGTTGGTTGGTAAGTGCTCCGAGTGTGCTCTTGCAGAACTCGTACAGAAACTCCGCTCTCCGAGATGAGCAGAAGGGACTGAGCAGTAGGAAGCTAGCTGTCAATGAATTGCAAATAGAACACCCTGCATGGAGCAGGTGCTGTGCCGTGGCCTTATAACAGATGGTTGACCCAAATGCGACGAGCAGAATCCACAGACGGCATCAAGGCTATTTGCATAAACAGTTAGCAGTTCATTGTACCGTTCGCTAGGGTGGAAAAAAGGACAGTGAATCGATTGAAGAATACGGAAACAACCTATGGAAGAAACTGCTTCGGTATCCCTTGAATGGACTGAACTTCCTGAAATTCCCACAAAAAACCAACCCGAAAAATATGCGAAATCTTGCTAATGGCGGGGTTTGAGTCCCTAGCATTATAGTCTATTACTTTCTCACTACCTACTTATTGACTTACCGTATTTGGCTGCTAAATGCAAGGCAGTGTCAGCGTCATCGTTTTTGTGTAGAACTAATCGCTTATCCCATTCGAGGAGTTGTCGAACTGCAAGACAAACGCGATCAGGAACGAAGGCTATGAGGTTCTAGAGCTCATAAATGAAAATGAATGAAATTCAAAATGATCGAAGTGCAAGATGCGACGCCGTTTTCCTAAAGGGGGGGGGGCAGGGTGACTTTCATGAATTTCTATCAGGTCCATTGTGTGCGGACCTGTAAACACTTGGAAACCTACTGCATGCTAAGAGTTTAATTTCCACGCCATTTTTTTGTTGTTTTTTTTTATGTAGGACAGCATGTAAAGCAGGATAGTGAAACGTTCTAAGGCAGAAGGAGAAGGGTTCTTTACTAAAGTTGATGAGAAAGCAGGTGCGGGGTAGCTAAACCGACTTGTACAAT